AGCTTAACGTTCAAACCCAGTCGGTCATTCCACACGAAAACAGAGTGGAGTACCTGCAAGGTCCAAGTTATCCCGTCAGTCGGCAGGCTTCTTAGGCCACGGCTTTTAGGGCATCGCGCCTCAAATTGGTTATAGGGAGGAATACGCGTTGAGACTACTGACCTTCCTCTCTCTTCCCACTCTCTGGCAGTAGTCCACTACCTGAGCCGATCAGATGTCTGGTGCGGGGGGTGGAAGCTGTGGCTTACAGGTCTCCCGTGTGGCACAGAAGTCGCATGTAGGAAGAAGATGAATGGGACACTTGACACATACGTAAGAGGTGACGGTAATGCGTTGTGTTGGAGGTGTTCATGTGTGATGAATGTGTTAATGGGAATGTGGGGTGTTATGGTCATATCTGCGATGATTTATCACAGGTTTTCCCGAAGGGCCCTGTGAACGAGTGGGTCCATGCAGTGCCTTAATATGAGCGGGCAATGAGAGCAGGGATTCAGTGATGGCGGACGTATGCTGGTGCTCCGGGCACTGGTTTGACAGTCTCTGTGCGATGGATTCGCAAGGGACCCACCGGACCGATGTCTGAGATAAATGTGCGGTGACAGTCTGGCCAAGATAGGTTTGGGGATGTTGAGTCTGTTACCGTTGTGGTGCTGCTAGTGCCGGTCGCTCTGGTGGGATGAGAGAAGATTGGTGTGGGGATGGAGGGATGGTGGAACCCGCAAGGCCTGCTAAGTAAGGACGCATGTGACCAAAGGGGTCTGCGTAGTGAATGGATGTGCGTGGACAGTGTGGACATTGGGGGCGTATGCGAAAGATGTATGGGGGGGTGAGCCCCTGGTACTGATTCGCCGGTCAAAAGGCGACGGACTCGCAAGCAACCGACCAGGCCGATGTGTGCGATGAGTGCGCGATCATAATGAGGACAAGTTGGGACCGTGTCCACATTACTGGGGGTGGGGGGGGGGGGGGGGAAGGGTGATGGTGCAGGGGGTGTTTCAGAGGACGTCGGGAACATTTTGAGAGGTTGTGAGAGTGAGGGTTGTGGAGGACGTTGTCGTTGCATAGATTTTGGCAGAGACGATGGTGATGGGGATGATTGACGGCAGCGGGGCTCTGAAATTCTGATAATCAGTGGTGAGATTGGTCGTAGCAGGGACGTTCGGGGAGGCATGAATTTGGGTTGTCGGTGTGACATCCCAAATGTCAATTTTACGTTATTGTATTACTTTCTACTAACCGTTTGTTAGTAGGCAGAATTATCCGTGTCGCGTCTAGTTTGTCTCGGAATAGCTACTCGTCGATTCTCCTCATTTTTTGCTCACAGTTCTTTGTTGTCGTTCGTTTTTAAACCGACCACCACGCGCTGGTGCCGTTCGCATGACTGCTCGCTTAATCATCTCGAATGTATACCCGGTTTTTAAGCTACGCCCATCTTGTTAACTCTATCTTGATCTGCCAATCTTACTGTTTATTACTATGACAGTTCGACCATCGATTTCGATTATGTCCACCGTGTGCCCCACAGCTGCAGCAGCGGTGGGAGCAGGGACGGTGACTTACGCAGGGGTTTATAGTGCCAGTAGACTTGCGTAGAATCTACCTAGACTCTCTCCTCCTCCCCCGCCTGGGCCCGGTGTCAAGACAGAGTCAAGAAGACCGGAGACGAGGGAGGGCGCAGGTGGATGGCTCGGACGGATCCTCACCTTGGCGTTCCACCAAACCCCTGGTCCACACAACAATAACCAGGATTTCAACCAACACAACAGAGATTTGGAGGCTGGCACGGCCGAAGCCGCACCTGGGCGTGCCGCCAACGCCTGGCTCGGATCCCACGCTGTGGTGGGAATGCCATGAAGGCCATATTAAAAAGGAGCCATTGCAGCCTGACTCTCAGACCGCCTCCAGTGAAGGAAGAGGTCCAAGGTACCCCTTCAGTTGGCAACGTTCCAAGCCACGGCTTTTAGCGCACCGTGATAGCTTAAAGCGCGTCAGATTGATTATAGTGAGGAAAGTGCGCTGAGTCGTCGACCTCACTCTCCCTTCCCATTCCCACACTCCAGCCGCCGTCCGAGCCGGTCGGCAAACTGGAGTGGGGAATGGGCGCGGTGACTTACATGGTCGACTGACCATGCCTGCGCGCGCCACAGCACGACCTGGCCCCCCATACACACAAACACCAGGATTTCACACAACGGGGGTTGAGCGCCTTGTCTCTCACTTGCGTGAGAGGGCCGTGGAAGGTGCTGCTTGAGCCCGTCCCCAGCCCACCAGTCCGCCACTCCACACAACACAAACACACAACGTGACGAACTGCATGAACCGAGAACGGGCGTCAATCAGCAACCTTCCTATCCACGACACTTTGCGTGTCGGGATAGTCTCGGACTCAAGTCACCCGTGCAGCCGAGGCCGCATGGGGACCGAGTCGAGATGCACACATCCCACTTGCGTGGATGGTGGCAGTTGGTGCATGCGGTGGGTGAGTGTTAAAGCGTAGTGGTAATGGTGGAGGAGGGTATGGGGTGTGTGAATGTGTGGTGTAACCGGCGGTTGTTTACCGCAGGTCGTCGTGGATGCGCATGTGACCGAATAGACCCATGCGGTGCCTGAAAGTGCGATGACGGTGTGGGCAGTTGAGTCGAGCTTGGTGGGTGTAGGTTGGTGCTCCAGGCACTGGTTCGCCAGTGTCTGTGCGATGGATTCGCCAGTGACCGACCAGGCCGATGCGTGAGGTGAATGTGCGTGCACAGTGTGGGCATGTGAATTCGACGGTGTCAGTGTCAGCCACAGTGGGGGCGTTGGTTGTGGTGCAGACGGATGGTGGGAGGGTGGTGCTGAGCATGATGGGCGTGGTTGGTGTATCGGAATTGAGGTCAATTCCGCTC